AGGGCAAGGGAAGGGGAAAAAAATAAGAACCAAGATACTCATGTAAAGGTACAAGATCCCAATGATGAATGTAACTGTATTTTATACCAAAAATGTACCAATAAACTTAATGGGAAAAAAAAAGAAGAAAGAATAAAACAGTGACAAGCAGTATAGCAGAACCCTACATTTAAAAGGTTACAGCTTGAGCCTCCCTACCTCAAAAATTGGAAATCTGAAATGTTCCAAAATCCAAAACTTTTTGAGTACCAACATGACACTGCAAAAGGAAAATTGCACATGTGATGTTACATTATGAGTTATAATCAAAATGGAGGTACACTAAAAATATTTTATAAAATTACCTTCAGGTAATGTGTATATGCTATACATGAAACAATTTTGTGGTTAGCCTTGGATCCTATCTTCAAAACATTTCATGTCCATGCAAATATTCCAAAATCCATAAAATCAGATATCTGAAATACTCTGGTGCTAAGCATTTCAGATAAGGGATACTCTATATTCCAAGTGTAAAATATTATTGCTTTTAGCTATAGTGATTTCTTAGATCATGCAAATCAGATGAACTGAACTCACTGCCTAAATTACTTCATTTTTAGGTGTTTCAAATTGGTGTTGGCTGTAACCCTCAAAAATTTATTGGAGTTAAAGGGCAAGTATATTTTCACTTGAACTGTCTTACTCTTTAAGTTGTAAAATAAATGATACACTAAATAGTAATTACTAATGATGATTACTAGTGCCTAATAACTGATATGTCCATCATGAAATCCAAAATCAAATTGACATTGGTGTCCAGTTTCAATTGGTTTGAACTATTATTGCCAAGTCAAGTACTACATTTAAATCATATTAAAAAGGAAAAGAATTAATCTCTTTATTCTCCTTCCCTTTTAATAAGCCAGTTTCCATCTTTCACCCATACTTCTCTCGGCTCTTCAGTCCACAGCACATTCTTGGAGAAAGGAGAAAAAGAAACCATTATCTCCGTTTGCCATCAATTGTCATAATTTCATTTCCATTAGAAAACTGCTTTCACCCATATCAGAAAAACCTCATCTTCCTGCACCATTTTCTATGAGGTTGCTAGAGCCACTCTAACAAAATAAGAAGTGGTTCCTTCAGAGAATCCAAAGTGTGAATTTTGTTGGCCCAGTTATGGTGACTTACAATGAGGCACACGGGATGGTGTGTCTTCAGTTTGCTACAGCTCTTGTTCCTCCATGTGGCAGAAAATCGAGGTGAACACACAAATCTGACTGAAATCAATGTACAGTGGAGGCAGTGGGATTCTTTTCTTTGGGTTAGGAGTAGGATGACAGTGGGGTAACGATGACTCTCATCTGATTATTTAGGAAATAGCTTGCTCTCACCCGAAACAAATGTCTACTTTTCCATCATTCTACTAGTCTTTTGATCATTAGAGTTGTAGTAATCACTTGCTGGACTTATAATTAAATATTCCCATCTTGTTCAGCATTTCCTGGATTTGCATTTCCTCATACCCTTGCACCCATAATTCCTTTACTGGGAAACACAAAATCTGACTTATGCGGCCTGTACCATCCTTCCTTCTGTGGTGGTTTATGCCTTTGCTCCTCAGAGTGTGTACATGGACCCACACTGGCATCACCTGAGAACTTGTTAGAAATGCAGGAGCTCACATCTCCTTCAGACCAACAATCTTCATTTGAACAGTATTTCCAGGAAATTAGTAGGTGCATTAAAATTTAAGGCTAACTACTGTAAGCAACAGGTTACCAAATCAATTTCTAGTTCCATTACATGCACAATTCCTTCTCAACCTCTTGATTTCCATCCACAGTGAGATGTAAAACAGCTTGAACTAATCTTTTTCTTGATCCAGATTATCCAGCTTGGTAGTTAATCAGAATGACTTGGAGAGTCAGGAACACTGATGCTTGCCTTTAATCCCAGCTTTTAGGGAGGCTAATGCAGAAGCACTGCAAGTTAGAGTCCCTCAGGACAACTTAGTGAGATCCTACTTAAAATTTTAAAAAGGAAAAAGGGACTGAGAGTGTAGCTCTGTGGTAGAGTAGCCCTAGGTTCAATCCCCAGTACTGAAAAGAAAAATCACCCAGAGAGCAAACAAAGACTACAAAACACAGACTTCAGGACCTTACTCTGGGTCTCTTAATCAGTAATCCTAAAAGCAACTCTAATGTCTTGGGCTGAGGTTGCAGTGGGCTTAAGGTTTCCACAGTTACCAAGGGACACCAGGGAGAATCTGGGAGAGCCAGACTGAGCTGGCAATGAAGGAGAGCATCTTTTGGGGTCCAGTGTGGATTTGGGGAGGGTGGTTATGTAGACCTCCACTGTTATCTAGAATGATGATGACAAGGTTTCCTTTCAAGTTACACTGGAAGCAGCCAGCTCAATGATCAAATGAATAACTTACAAAAAGCGCTTAAATTCATAAACCATTATAACCTTCTGTCTCCATGAACCCTATGTAGAAATTATGTGAATCAAAGTATACATAATATAAAAGGCAAAATAAAAGTTAGATAATAGGAAACAAAGAGATAGATCTTTTGCAAATAGGAAGGGGATCTAGAGGGAGGGAGAGAGAAGGAAGGGAAATACAAAGAATTAAGATGTGTTGTGCACATGTACCAACTCCCTGCAATGACTGTAATCACTATATACTTCAGAAATGTACTAATAAACATTTTTTAGTTTTTAAAGAAATTATATGAACCTTAAAATAGTTTCTTACCTGCATAATGGAGTCTCTAGTAGAACCTAGACATTTTGTGTTTTAGACAAAAGTTTATATTGTAAAATAAACAGTCCAAACAAATTTGTCTTCATTTGATACATTTTCTATAAATTCATTTTTATTTGTATGTATATGATTTAGCATGGTCCCTCCTCCCCTTTTTTGTGGTTCTAGGAATTGAACCCAGGGCCTTGCACATGCTAAGCAGCTAAGCAAGTGTTCTACTACTGAGCTACATCCTCAGCCCTTTTTATTTAATTTTGAGACAAGGGCTTTGCTAAGTTGCCCAGGCTGGACTTGAACTTGCAATCTTCCTGCCTCCACTTCTCAAGTAGCTGGAATTATGGGCATGCACCACTATCCCTGGCTTGAGTAACATTTTTATTGTGATAAAATTCAAATAGTATGTGAAATCTGCCATTTTAACTATTTTTAAATGTAGAGTTCACTAGAATTAAGTACTTTCATAATATTCCACACTTAGCGTCACTACCCAGTTCCAAAATATTTTCATCACTCCAAAAGGTAACTACTAGTAAGCAGTCACTCCCTAATTCCCTTTCCCACCAACACCCAGTGACCATTAATTTCCTGTCTCTGTGGATTTTCCTAATCTGGATATTTCATATAAATGCATGCAATATATAAGATTTTGTATCTGGCTCATTAGCACATTTTTGAGGCTCACTGGTGTGGTGCTACTTATCATTAGTACTTCATTCCCTTTTATAGCTGAGTAACATTTCATTGTATGGCTATGCCACATTCTATCCATTCATCAGTTCATGAATATTTGGAATCTTTCTACCTTTGGGTTTTTGCAAATAGTACTGCTATGGATATTTGTGTACAAGTTTTTGTTTTGTTGAGCGTCTGTTTCAATTACGCATTCTGGGAATGTACTTAAGAGTGGAATTTTTCACTGCATCACATGATATCCTATGTTTAACTTGAGGAAATACCAAACTATTTTCCACAATGGCTGCACCATATTACATTGGTGACAGCAATGTAAGACTGTTCCAATTCTCTACATCCTCTCCAACACTTGTTCTTTTCTATTTTGGGTTTTTTCCTCTGTTTTTCTTATTAGACACAGAAGATTATATGTACTTACTCTGTACAACATGCTGTTTTTAAGTCATCATGCAATGATTAAATCTACCTAGTTAACATACACATAGTTATCATTTTGTGGTGAGAATACATTCATTTTCTTAGCATTTTTCAAGAATACAATATGGGGGGCTGGGGATTTAGCTCAGTGGTTCCACTGCCTGCCTTGCAAGCGCAAGGACCCGAGTTCGATCCCCGGTACCAAAAAAAAAAAAAAGAATACAATATAGGATTAACTGTAACTATCATGTTGTACAATAGCTCTCTTTAATTTATTCCTCTTATCTGACATTTTGTATAATTTGACCAGCCCCTCCCCAATGCCCCCCCACACTATTTTCCATAAAATGAAGAGGAGAGTTAAGACAGGCTTTTGCTATGTAGTCCAAGCTGGCCTCGAATTTATGATCCTCCTGCCTCGGCTTCCCAGGTGCTGGGATAACAGGCATGCATCACTACATCCAGCCTCATTTCCAATCATTTTTTAATAAACATGTACAAAATATAATATAATCAATAGGTTTCAAGTCCAGTGTCTACAGAAACATTTGTAAAGTTGTTTTTTAAATTAATTTTATTGGTACACTTAAGGTATACAATATAATGACATTCAACATTGGAAATTTGTACCTTTACATAATCTCTCCTGGTTCTTATTTTTCCCCCTTCCCCTGCCCTCCCTTCAACCCCTCCACCCCTCTCTATCTACAAAGACTTTGTTTCCATTTTTTCATTTTCTCATATTATTTCCATTCCCTTCTTTCCTTTCCCCTACCCCTCCTGTAAAGTTGATTTTTAAAAAGTAGAGGGCCAAGGACTTCGCTCAGTGGCACCTTGCCTGCCTCGCAAGCACAGGGTCCTGAGTTCAATCCCTGGTACTGCAAAAAAAAAAAGTAGAAATGCTAGGGCTACAAAGTAACCCCAGAGATTCTAATTCAGTAAATAATGATTCTGTGTCACTCTCCAGTTTGAGAATCACTGACCTAAATGATTAAATGTTTGTGCAAATATATAAGAAATGATGCTACAACTTCATTGTTTTATTTTTCTAGATTTAGTAAAACAGCATGTGTTCACCATGAATTTTTTTATGAGATTGACAAGTAAGAAATATTTTTAAGATAAGCACTAAGCTTTATATTCATGTAATAATATTAATAGTAATGTACAATCAGTACTTATTTATTGAATTTCTATTGGCATCCATGTGCTTGGCTTGACATTGTGAAGCTGGTTTTAGCATTAAGCAAAATGTATAGACCCTGTAATTACCCTTCTCTGAAACATACAAGAGTCTTAGGCCCTGTCTTCTCCTTCAATATATTTGGATAAACAAAGTAAGCCTCATTTTGTCACAAATTCCATATTGTTCCCTCTAGTTTAGGGAAGACATACAAGAGTGTCTTTTATTCTACATCATTTTTCTTTAATTCTATATTAATGTAGTTACAATTTATGGTTTTACCAGGAAAGTCCTGACATCAACTATTCTACTAACTGAACTTTTATGCTGTATTTTGATTTAATTTTATATATTTTTTAATAATGCAATTTATTGACGATATAACTAAACAAAATCCAACTTTTGCCGTCTTCAGGGAAAATCATTATTAAAAATTTTTAGATATTTATTGGGCTGTCCAAAGTTCAGAAACTCAGTCTCTGATATAAGTGTCTGAAAAAGCCGTCAGATTTTCTCACTTTATTCAGTTGGAATACATGAAAGAATGTCTAACCACTAGGCATATCCCGAAGAGCTGGGATTAAACTGCAAGGCAGGATGGAGAGAAGGGAAACCGCAATGCTTAGTGAAGGCAGTAGGTGAAACAAAATGGGGAACAGGAAACCTGTAATGGTTGGGTCACCATCTTCCTGCACCTATGTGGCAGCTGGATCTCTTGGGGAAGAACGTGAAGTAGGCTGTATCCACTGTGGCAGGAACTTCCTGAATCCTCCCCTGGAGCATGGTTAAGACATATGGAACATGAGGCTGGTGACAAGTCAAGTCAGAGAACTGACAAGATAAGAAGTATGTGAGAAAGGGTGGTTTTGAAGGAAAAAAAACCCCCTAAGCTCTTAAGAGGAAGGAATTCCATGATAGTGAGAAATCTAAGTTAGAAAGTAAGTGAAGTTTTAAAACACACACACTGATTCTGAGCACCTCACTCTTTCATCTATGAATAGTCTGGGAAGAACTGCATTGAAATAGCACAAGGAACGTGGGCTTTATAATCATGCATCTTTCTTAGGCGTAAAGCAAGGTTTGCTGCCTTGAAAAGTCTCATGTGATTTCTGAGAATGTGCCATATTGTCTTAGCAGAGGACAGTGATTTGTACCTTGTTGGTTATTGTAAGAATGTGTTAATATGTATGGAAATGTGAGGAAAATGCCTGAAACATAGTAAGCACTCAGTAGTTAATCATGTTCATCTATTTGGCATTTCTTATACCTCCTTAAACAAAGTCTTAGTCTTAGTTTTTAAGTTTGAAAAGAGGAAAAAATAAATAATGAATATATTTTTTATAGGTCACATCTGATACATCAACCACTTGAAAACTTGGTAAGAAAATTGTAATTTTTGTCAGTGGGACAAATATATATAATAACTAAAAAAACCACTTTTCTTTTTCTAGAAAGTAAGGTATGACTGGGAAAAATATGGCTGCCCACTGAGACTTAATGGCCATGAAAAGTTTCAACCTTTGATTCAATTGTAAGTGTGTTCTGGATAAAATTTTAACTTATTTTAGAAATTTCAAAATAAAAGCATAAAAACAAGACTAAGAATGCATTTAGTAATAAGTATTTGTAAGTACTCAGTATATGCAAGTATTAGTAATGCAGCTGAGGTGTGTGTGGCTAAGAGAACCAGAAACCTTTTCAGGAGTGTAGGCAGCCCTTCCTTTCCCCTCCTTAGCTATCTCCCCAGGCTCCCTACGAATCCCTGCCTGTTTGATAGAAACTACCTTACTCAAGTGACAAGACTGCTCTTTGCATGAACCTGTAATAATGAAAGCTTTTCTGGAAAGAAATTTGATTGCTGATAAGTACATTGAGAGGATCTCAAAAATATCATCCCTAATTTAATTCCTATAAATGAGATCTCATGATAAAAATATGAATAAAATGCTACAAGGGAGGTTATTTTCTAAGTAATTTTGTATTTTGTCTGCTTCCCTTTGTGACTGGTCACATAGTGTCTTACTGTTGTCAAGGAAATTGCCACTGCTCTGGAGGCAATTCCCATTTGGTTTAAAGGATTTTTATCTATCAGGCCATGATCCTAGAATTTAAGGTAAACTGAGGGAAAGAGCAGTTCAGAAAAGGATAGTTAAGGTAACATGCCATGAATGGGTCCCATCCCCACAGATGCTGACTGCCTGAAGGAGTTATATGTAGCAGCCCAGGCTTGGGTGGATGTTGAACCCAGGTGAAGGATGAGACATGAATGAGTGCAGAGTCCTGGCCATGGAGGGGGTTAGATGACCAACCAGGAGATTGGGCTGAGTACAGAATGAGTCTAGGAGGAAAGTGCTGTGCAGAAAGCAAGGTGGAACTGGGAGGTGGAAATCTCTGTGAGATCAAGGGGCAGATGAGAGGACATGTGGAAGATGGAGGAGGTTTGCATCAGAGAGGAGACTCCTGCATCAGCACTTTTTTTCTAAAAGTATCTTCTTTGTATCTTTGCTACCAGGAATCACTTGATAAAACCTTTTTGCTTCTAATTCTCCTAGGATGATCAACCAAATATTAGAGGCCAATTACAGAGGAAAAATCAGATCAGCAAGTGTCCAGTTCAGTTGTGTCATTCTAAAACATAGTTTATCAGGGAATTCAATCAGGTGTTCATCAGAGGTGGATTGGGTGCTAATAAATTAGCTTTGCAAATCAGGCAGACTTGGATTAAGCTTTCAGAATCGGTGGACACAGTGGCCACTGGGAAGTTACTAGTCAATAAATGCCCTACTGTGCAGGAAATGGCTCACGAACAAGGTTGGGCAGTTTTACAGATCAAAGGATGACAGGTTCAACATAATAAGCATGAATAGAAGGCATCCCAGGAGAATTGTACTACCAGCACTTACAGGATAAAGGAGGTGGTCAGGGTACGAGGTATACATTGCTTGGTTTGGATATTAAAGGGGGTCCAGGAAGGTTACAAATTGGCCGGCCTTGGGTATTTCCTCCAAGGGCGAGGCCTCAGATATTAAATATTCAAACACTGGAAATGAAAGTCATGGTTAATACAATAGACAGTCCACAAAGTTTGACTAATGAATCTGCAGATCAGCAGAGAGGTCTCTTCAATTCCAAAAGTAGAGCCTCAGTAGTGGAGAAATTAACAATTGTTGGGAAGTTAGTTGCCAACTAATGATATTCCTGATTTCTCAGGTTTAATTAGTATTCTATTCTACTCTGGTGAACATTGTTGAAAATAATTATTTAATGCTTACATAGGCAATGGTTTCTGTCACACATTCTCAATGAAATAAATAAAACATTGTCAAAGACGATTACAGATCCAGAAATTATGGGTCATGCAATGCATACTTATTGCCACTAGGTGGGAGTATAGTTTATTGTTCTTGTGAGAGTCAAAGTTCCAGCCCACACGGTATAATTAAGATTTTTAAAAAAGTAAAACATATGGCTTTGCAACAGTTCTTAATAATTCAGGAACCTCATGACTTTCAAGACATGCCATCAAAATTCTGCTCCTTCCAAAACTGCTAGGATTAGAACTTTGGTAATCCTGAACTATGTAAAATTATGGGGGGGGGTGGGGGGGGGTGTGGGGGTGTGGGGGTGTGGGGGTGTGGGTGTGTGGGTGTGTGTGTGTGTGTCCCCATGTCTGTGTCCACATATTCTTCTGTGGTGAGAGGGTCCTCCATGCACATTAGAGTTTTAAAATTCTCTGTGGTCCTTCTCCCTTACCAAGAAGTCAAGCATCGGCATTCTACTTCCTAGTCGTGCCTGTTTTGAGTACTGACCATCCGAATTCATCTCTTTATAATTCATCAAAATTAATCAACATGAAAGTGAAAACAGCTTCTCAGATACCTCTTTTTGACCCTTAAAGTTTTTTTCTGCCCAGTTTTCAAGAGTGGTACAATAACAACTTCTTAAACCATGGTTGTATGGTAGCAAGTCGTCACAGGCCTATAAACCAGATACAAAGGCTGCAAGGTAAAACAGAGACCTGGGCAGGAAATGAGGAGACACAGTCAAAGACCTGTGATGTTTTATAAATCTCTACAAAGCCACCAAGGGAGAAATTATATCAAAGAATGGGGTAAGAGTCAGCAGCCTAGAAAAAAGTGCCTCAGACCATGGTCCTAAGTGAAATTTCACCCAATGGGGATGGGAGATTTCATTAAGAAATATAAACAATAATTGATGGAGAAGGAAGCCAGGTAACTGATTTTATAGTCATGAGCTTTAGTATACAAAAGTGTGAATTTATCAGTAACTGGACCTTAGCTGTGGTCTTAAGCTCCTATTTTTAGATGATAGCAGAAAAAATAATACGTAGTACCACATCTCTTTGAAAACTCACTGGGTCTGGGGAAATACTCTAGCTCAGTGGAGCTCTGCACCTCGCCCCAGCACCAGGCAGGTGTGTCTGCTGTCCTTAGGAGTCATCCTCCACCCTCTGAGCATGCACTGTCAGAGGGCACATGCGCACCTGGCCCAACCCCACTCACCCGGGCTGCTGATCCCCTGACTGTCACTCCCAGCTGGCTTCTCCTGGGACATCTACAGTGTGTCAGTTCTCATCATAGTAGTTCTGTTTCACTCTCTGGTACATAAAAGGCAACTGATGAACATTTGTTGATTAAATAAGACCAGGGGATCCTTACCGGGCCCTTCCTGCATTCATCACATTTTTCCACCTTTCTCCCAGCTGGTAACCAAGACGGAAGGCTCTCAGCTACTTTCATCAATATGCAGTCCTATCAAAGTGAAGAGAACTTATGGTTTCAATCTTATACTTCATTGCTAGGTCTTACTCCATTCATCTGTCAAAATAGACCTATGTAAGGGCCGGGCTCAGTGGGTCCACTGCCTGCCTCGCAACTGCAAGGTTCTGAGTTTGATCCCCAGTACCAAAAAAAAAAAAAAATAGACCTATGTAGCAGGTGTAGTTATTTTACAGATAAAAAATTGAAGCTTGAAGAGTTTAAGTCATTTCCCCAGGGTGACAAAGCTAACAAGTGATAAAAACAGAATTCACACCTAACCCCATCTGACTCGAACACTGTACCTCTTAACTCCTCTATTTTATACTAAACTATTACGTTTGTGTTTCATCTTTCTTTTAGATTTGATGACAGTGGCCATATTGAAGATGTGGCAGTAAATTTCATACTGTGGGAAATACATGGCAGAAATGATTATAGTTACAATAATACCATGAAGCAGGTACGATGTCTTTGAATTTAAACAGAAATTATTATGCAATTTGACATGGCTTTCTATTTTGAATCTATACGTGATATATCTAAGAAAAATAGAACCAAGAAGGTAGAAAACATACCTCACCTGAGCATTAAGTTAAATGACTACTGAAGTTCATTTATGAAAAATGAATCCATTGTCACATAAAACAGACACAAAGGGGTCAGAAAAAATAAAATAATGTTTGTAGTAGGATGATGCAATTATATATAAGCATTTTCTTTTTCCTTCAAACTGTACTGAATATTTATTTATGGGTCTGCCTTACCACATTTGTGTAAACCAAATAGACACTTTTTCTACTTACTTGACCTCCTTGCATTCTTTAATCCTGCTGACCTTGGCGTCGATGCCTCTGCACTCCCCTAGTTCTCTTCCGTCATCCATGTCCAGTTGGGCAGGGCTCCTAGCTGAATCCTTCTTACTCTGTCCTTTTTGTAGCAACAGAAAGGACTCCTAATTACCACACTTCACCTCCCCGTCTGCCCTTGACAGCCTCCCATCATGATGGAGCCTCTTTAGAAGTTGTCAGCATTGATTCCTAAGGTTCCCCCAAGAATTTTCGGCTCAAAAAAACCAGGGATGACTCTTTCCAAAGTGACATGCCTCTCTACCAGAAACGTTAATTATCCAAGAGGTACAACTCACTCTAATGGAAACCAAGAGAACTGAGTTCCATTTGCTATTTCCCAGGGTACCGCAAGAACTAATTGTCTTTCAACTATGTAACCAACTAAATCTATCCCAGCACACATTCCTCTGTACTTGTTCAGCACCCAATACAGTATGTAAGCCCTCTGGTCCACTTCCTTTTTGCAATCTTATACCTAAACTACTGCATCCTTCCTCTGCCTTAGTCCAGACTCCCATTACCCTCTTCTTTCTCAAACTTTTCCATTATACTTTACGGTTAAATGCCCCTCTATCCTTCTTAAATAAAATTTCCTCAGAGGACATACCTTTCCCTGCAGTTCTATCAAACCAAAGGTACACATCCTCTCGCCCCATACGTATCTCTCCACTCTTCAATAAAACTTCAATTGTTTGAGGCTCCTACCCTCTGGTTGACATCTATTCCATTCCTCCTTGCTGATGTCATATACTCAGAACATGATTATTTTTCCTTATGATCTGAAAATAATTCTAGATGGCTTCTGAATTCTGCTACCCATCACCTAGTGCTACTGCTAGGAAGGTTTCTAAATAGGGACTACGTTTCCCAGACACATATCCACCTAAGTGGGGCCACATGACTGGTTCTCATGACTGGAATATGAGCTGAAGTTATGTGTCACTTCCAGATGAAATACCTAAGAAGGAATTCCACTAACCTCTGTGCTTTCTGTCTTACCTCATATCAGTGTACTACAGAACAATTAAGGATAGAGTAGATGAGGGCTTGGTGAAAATGGTCCAGTGAAGGAACTTCAAGCAAGCTGTAGATAGAAAAAGCCTGGGTTCCTAATTCATTTCTTAAAGAGGAGTCACCCGTACAAACCATCTAATCAGGAACATTAAACTATGTGTAATCAAGAAGTAAATTTTTATTGTGTAAATCCCCTGAGAGTTGGGGGGTTGTTACTATAGCACTGCAGAGACCACCTTGACTAATAGAGCTCCTCCAATAAAATACATTTGAATTCAAACAGATCCACTTCTGACCTCAACCCCCAATCCTTTAGCTCTGTCACTGTCATTTCCACCATTCCTAGGTATCATACATTTCCTCACATAACCTAGACATCTGTCATATTGCACATTCTCATTTCTCCCTCTCTATCTGTCCCATTTTTCTCCCCTTCTTTTCCTATCCAGCTTAAACTCTATGGTTAATCCTTCTGTTATAGTCTTGGTAATGGGTACATCTCACTTTCCCCAGGGTTGTTCTAGGTTGGACATTATCCTGGCAATTTTAAACACCAGAGCAGCCAGCCAGGAGTCAGGTGGAAAGTGTCCATGGTCTTGTCCCTTCTCCTCGTTGGGTCCTGTTTCTTCAATTTCTCTGTACTGTTAATTTTTTTTGTTTTGGTACTGGGGATTGAACTCGAGTCCTTGCGCTTGTGCAGCAGGTGGCGAAACCACTGAGCTAAATCCCCAGCCCGTGTACTGTTAATTTTCCTGTTTCCAGAAATCTACTTCTCTCTTTTTTTTCTTCTCTGATTTGTTGTTTTCCACTGCCTGGATTCTGAATCTCAGAGAGTTTAAGTCATTGTCACTCACCGCTCTGCCATTGTTTTCCTTTCTCTGACCCTAGATTTTTAAAAAAAAATTTGTAAAATAAAAGTTCAGTTCACCAAAAATATAACAATTATAATTAAGGTGCAAATTTTTAAATTTATAATTATGTAGCTTTAAAGCATATAAATAGAAAGTTGAGATAGCTAGAAATAGACAAATCCACAAACATAATAAAAGTAATTTACCATATTAGCAAAATAAAGGAGAAAAGACATACTATTATTGTAATTGTTGATGAAAAGTTATTTGGTCAAGAATTTATCATCTGTATATAACATTATTTCTAAAGTTTAAACAGATAGTAACTTCCTTAACCTAATAAAATATAGATAAAAAAAATGTGTACCAAACATTACAAATGGTGAACATTTCAAAGGCTTCCCTCTGAAATTAGAACACAAGGGTAGCTGTGTAGCACTATTTTTATACAACGTCTTTGTTGGAGATCCTTGTGATACATAAAGAATAAGCAATAAAAATTTTAAAAAGGTGTAAGAGTGAAAAAAGAATTCATATTCACAGGTGACACTTTTCGTGTGAAACAATTAGAATTAGTTTGTTTAAGAAGTTCTCTCAACACAAGGTCAATATACAAAAGTCAATTGGTCCTGTGTATTGCTGCAAACATTTAAATAATGAAAGTTTTAAGAATATATAAAATTTTCAGCAGCATCAACATATACTAATACTTAGAAATAAACGGATATGAAATCTCTACAGAGCCATATATATGCACTCTTTTCACAGAGCGGTTGTTTAAATGAAGCCCAGACATGGAAGACCATGATTGAGCTCAATACAGACCTCCCACTAGAAGAAGTCTGGGGACCAGAGGTAAGAAAAGCATTACATTGGCCTGAGGAGGTAGCGCAGTGGCACCTTGCCTGCCTGGCAAGGGCAAGGTCCTGAGTTCGATTGCCGGTACAAAAAAAAAAAGAAAGAAAAACATTACCTTGCAGTCTGCCCATGTGGAATTACAAACTGAGCATTCTGGAATTAACAAAAGCTTGATGGAAACATTTCAGACTGAAATATCTTTCAGTAAATCTAATCTTATTTTTGTATTGATAATTATCAAAAAGCTTCATCTTAATTTCTGTTTGTGGATTCTTGCTATCAAATTAATTTTCACTGCCAAAAACCTGTATGTGCAGATTATTAAATGTCTGATAAACATGTAAAAGTGTTGAAAGTAAGTCTTATAAAAGACTACCACTCTCTCTTACTTCACTTATTTTTTCCTGGTGGTGGGACAGACTTTACTTAAAAATCAAATAATCAACAAGGATTTCCCTGGCCACCATACCCATGAGAGCCACTGTCCAAGAAAGCCCATCTCTCCCCTCCCCATTTTCTTTAATATCATGGGCAATGATAACTCTCTCACATATTAAACAGCCTACTTTTTAATCTTATTTATTATCTGGCTCCCCAACTAAAATGTAATCTCCAAGAGGGAAGAGAATTTATTATTTTTAATGCTGTAACTCCAGCATCTAACCCATTGTAGATGCTTAACACATATTTATAGGATTAATTAAATAACTATAGATTCTTATAAAAAATTGTATTGTACTATTTAAAAATCATAAGCAATTAAACTAGCAATGGAATCAGTTTAAACCAAACTTACTCTCCTGACTTCTTGGTGAAGGACATCCACGAATCTGGAGTTGGGGAGGGATGGAAATGATACTATCTCTATTCCCAAATCTTACAAAGGCCACCTAGATGTTCTTAGATTCTGTGAAGATTTGGTAGCATGTTCGAAGGAAGCAAGGAGTCAGCTGGGAAATCAACAACCTTGGAGCTTGCTTCAATCAATATAAAATAGTACAGTGGGTCTCTCTACCATACATCAGAATTACCTGGGGGGCTTGTTAAAACAGATTACTAGCCTCACCACCACAGTTTCTGATTCAGCTGATCTGATGCAGGGTCCAAAATTTGCATTTCTAACAAGTCCCCAGGTAATGCTAATTCTGCTAGGGAAACGTTGAAAGAGTAGTTTACAATCTAGACAGATTTTGGAGAGCACATTCCAAGGCCCTAATGTTCTGTTCTGCTGTCTGAGAAACAAAGCCCACCACAAAAGGGTGAATTTGATCTTGAGTCTGGAGAGTATAGAAAGCAGGCACCTGCAAAGAACTGTTATGTCCTAGTGAGTAAGGTTGCTCTTACAGAAAGGTGTCAACGTGTATTAAGGTGACAATCATGAAGATGCATGCCTTCCTGCTGAAACATAGACTTAAAATGAAATAGCCTTCCAGAAAAAATGGAAATAAAGCTTTTGTAAATGGCCGGAGGAGGAGGTTAAAGGGAGGGAAGGGAAATGGGGGAAAAAGAGGAATCAAGCTATATCACATACAGGTACAAACTCCCTCTGATGACTGTGATCATTATGTATATTTAAATTGGACCAATAAAATTAATTAATAATAACAAAAAGAAATAGCCTTCCAATTCTTGAAGATGCACTGACTGCTATGCAGTCCTGATTCTACAAGGATAAATGACCCTTGCAGAAAGATCTCTGGCCACTGTAAATTCTTCCCTGGATGGTTAGTTCTGCTATTGGGTATGCCAAGCACCCTCAGTTACAGCAACAGCCCTGCAGCTCAGCACAGGTTTTTCACATCATGATCATGGTTTCAGGACTTTCTCTGCATGAGCCAAGTCCTTGAGTCACCCACCCTACTTCCTTGGAGTTTCCTTCCATGAACAGATACCCACCACACAGGGTGGGTGTGACATAAAGCATTTGGATCCTTTACAATGACTAACTAAAGCCACAGGATGTATACCAGGTCTGTTTCATCCAAAAATTTCTTGACAGTATAACCCACTATGTACAACCCAGTGTCGTTCCTTGTGATCTCATCCTTCATTGTACAATCTTCCATGCTTTTCTCAGAGCTCTCCCAAGTGGAGCCAGAACATATGTGTTCTCTGCCCCTGATTACTATTAACTTCATTTGGTCTTTCACATCACAATATAATTAGCATGAGGAAGGGGAACCACAGCCAAGGCAGCCAGCCAGCGGTACACACACAGCTGAGCGTCAGCTGGCCCTTCTTCACCAATGAGTCAAGCTGTGCTCCTAGCTGAATTCGTACTTGTTGCTACCAGAATATAAATGATAAGCAGTCTCTTCCTCCTCATCTTCATGGCCTGTACATTTACTCTTAACTCAGTGACTTAACTTGCATTTCTGCCAAAAATGCATTTTAGCTTATAATTCTATTACTCCAAACAATTCTCCTCCAATTTGGCTATAGCACTGCTAGAGTGATGAATTACCTTTAAACCTTCCTCTCATTGTTGCATCCCCTTATTTATAATTGAAATTCTTGGGAGAGGAATTTCACTGGTAGAACTCAGATTTGAGCTGCCCCACCCCAGTCCCAGCTATATCCTGGAATAAGCAGAGAAAGAATGTGTGCCTGTCTACTTCTGGGATGAAAGGAGGGGGCCTGGAATTACCCTCTCACTCTCATGTCATAAAAAAGAAATCAGGGTTCCATTGATAATGGTAATGCACTCTGGCTAGGCCAAAAAAGCGGCAGAGGAAATATTCATAAACCCTGCTCTCAGGAAGTGGGGATAGTGGAATTCTCATTTCATTAAAGTTGTATATGGAATTAGCTACAAGCTTTGATGAGAACTTCATCTCCTTGAAGAAATGAAGAATAATTGATTGTTGTAATGGGCATAACAGTAAGTAGGGCAAGTGTCCACATCCTCACATTTTGTGACATCCAGTGGCGTGAAGGCAGGCACAATGAGGACTGTACTTCACACTTGAATAAAAGTTTCCAAATTTTTCAGAGAAAATCTTTTGGGTGGTATGGTCAATAGAAAAGTCTCCAGGGAAACTAGGGCATGATTGCCTAGCATACCAAATAGCACTCTCAGCAAGCTTTTGAGTAGAGGGATAGAACTAGCCTAAAAGACATATTATCAGAGCTCATTCAACGTGGGTCGAGAGCAAGATGTAGCAGATACTGAGAGTATAGCAGACTCTTGAATATTGAAAAAGCAAAATACTTTAACATTGAAAGTTAAAGCTCAACATTAAGTTAGCAAATATACCACCTACTATGTACCAGACTGGGGGCACAGCAGTCAATAATAAGCTTCTTTCTAGAGCTTATCATTATCACCATTTAATTGTGGTTAAAATTTTTGCCCATAGGGTTGTCATGGGGAACTCCTTTTGGGACTGTACAAGAGCCTTGATACCAAGGTTCTATTGACTGGGAAGTTATTCATAAAAGAGAAATGCTTCATGATATATAGGGGGAAAATATGCTCTGAGTGAATTTTGTGCTGCTGTCACAGAATACCTAAGATTGGGTAAATCATAATGAATTAAAATATACTGGCCTATGACTAGAGACCAGAGTCTAACAGCATGGCGATGCCCACAGCTGGCGAGGGCTTTTCTGCTGTATCATCTATGATAAAAGGGTGCAAGGAGGCAAGGGCAAAGCAAACGAGACAGTGAACAAGAGAGGCCATACCCAGAAGGAATCCACTCCCAGAATGACGAAACTACTTCCACAGTAATGGCATTAATCCACTCATGGGACAGGTGCCCCAGTGATTCAAACACTCCCACTAGGCCCCCTCCCAACACCTTTCTATGGGGGTCAGGTTTCAAACACATGGACATGTGGATGACACAATTCAAACCACAGCAACTCTGAAGGATGCTGCTTAGCCCAAAGCTCAGACATAGCCCAAGTAATTGCCTCACGAGTCTTCTTCTTTCCTTTGAACGAGTAGAAGAGGAGAAGTCAAAATTAAGTAGAATGTGAAAGCATATAGGACCTGAAAGAATCCAGAACCAACGCTACGTATTTTTGCAGGGTGTGTCACCTGAAAATTTTAACAATCTTTTTATCTTGTTTTTTAGTTTTCATAAAGTGATTTTTAAAAACACAAGGTTGTTTCATCTGTGATTCTTAAAAGGGAGGGCAAGGGATTAAAAACTACTCTTTGTGGTTTGTATCATGAGACCCACTCACAAGAAAACATAGTAGTAGCAATGGGGATAAATAAAAGTTCTAGGGAAAAGTAAAAACCCAAGGATATATCACCTCAACTATGTCTAAATAGTTTCTGTTCCCAGTTAGCATCTTTGGAGGATTTTATGTTTTGTTGGTTAGAAAAATAATATACTAACAGCCAGGCCTTGTGGTGCACACCTGAAATCCCAGCACTCAGGAGGCAGAGGCAGGAGGATTGCTGTGAGTTTGAGGCCAGCCTGGGCTATCTAGTGAATTCAAGGCCCCCTGCCCTACAAACCAAGACTCTGTCTCAGAAAACAAACAAAAAAATTTTGAGGCTAGTCTGGGCAATTTAGCAAGACCCTATCTCAAAAAAAAAAAAAAAAGCTAACATAACTTAACATCTTAATTTAATTGTTTTAAAATACATAATAGCCAGATGTGGTGGTGCATGCCTATAATTCAGCACTTGGGAGACTGAGGGGAGGAGGATCATGAGTTCAAAGCCAGCCTGGGCTACACAATGAGTTCAAGGCCAGTCTGAACTATGTATGCAGCCTGCAGCAAAACCCTGTCTCAAACCAAATAAACAAACAAACAAAACATAGGCTGGAGATGTAGGTCAGTGATACAACACTTGTTAAGAATATAAGACATCCTGGATTCAATCGCCAGCACTAAAAAACAAACAGCATCTGCCTTCACTTTTCATAAAGTGTTAACCCAATAAAGGCTCTAAAAATGCAACAGAGGAGGCAATGATGGAATAGAAAGGAATAGCCATTGTATCTCTAAAGAATATTGCAAGGTAAACATAAGAATATAATTTTATTTGTTAGTCAGAAAATGATCTTTGTTCTTGTCTTTGTTTCTTTTTCAGAACTATAGGCCTTGTTTTTCTTATGCTATTGGAAAACCAGGAGATTTGGATCAACCATATGAGATTATCAACATTTCTAATAATAACCATATATTTTGGCCCTGGCACCACTCTGGAATGTATGTGTTTCGTGTGAAGATCCTGGATCCAAACTATAGGTAAATATAAATGATGATTTTAGCATTAGCTCCTCAAAATTAAGTTTTTGTTTTATGGATTTAATTTGATATTACCTAAGTATCTAATTGTTCTTGTTAGTATTTATCTATTTGCTTTTCCATTTTGTAGCAATCACATTAAAACATTCTATGGGAGTGGGAGATTTAATGTTAAATATTAGTCACTGGGTTTGAAATTACATTCTGAGAACTTTACTGTGTTTCATCTACTATGTTTCATAGATTCAAATATAAGATAAACACAATTTCAGCCTTCAAGATGCTTATAATTAAGTTGCTTGGTAACCAAGAGAAGTTAAATACATGAGATATTTTTCAAGTCTAATCATTTGTGTTATTAGCAGGCCCAGTAGTAATTCAGAGATGGGAAAGATTGATGCTATTTTGAGGAATAGAAGAAAATTTCCTAGAGGACATGGAATATTAGTACTGATAGAGTAACCCTTATCTAAAATGCTTGAGACCAGAATTGTTTCAGATTTGACTTTTTTCCCCCAGATTTTGGAATATTTGCACATACATAATGTATTTGCATATACATAATGACATATCTAGGAATAAGACTCAAATTTAACTACAAAAATTCATTTATGTTTCACATATACCTATATACATAGTGTAAAGACAATTTTATACCACAGTTTTATTGTTCCTGTGTTGGTTTTTTTGTTTTGTTCTTTGTTTGTTGGTTTTCTGGTCTGTTATAAAGGATATTACATAGGATGCAGATGAAGAGCTTACAGGGCAAGGCTTGTGGAAAGGGGTACAAATCTTCAATGGCCTGTCTGGGTGTACCACCTCCAGGAATCTCTGAGTGTTAAAAGCTCTGTAAACCCAGTACATTTGCATTTTCTGGAGGCTTCATTAAATAGGCGATGATTGATTAACTCCCTGACCATTGGTAATCAATTTAGCCAACAGCCCTTCTCCCCACCCTGGAGACTGGGGGGTGGCAGTGGGGGACTAAAGTCTAATCTGGCTGTGGTCTTTCTGTTGACCAGTCCCCATACTGAAACCACCTCGGGACTGCCAGCCATCAAGCAATCATTAGCTTACCAAATGACACTTATCCTTTTGAAGATTCCAAGGATTTTATGAGTTGTATGCCAAATAAAGAAGGAGAAAAAATACACTGTCACATATTTCACAATGTCACAGCCCACCCCCTGGTCTTTAAACAGGGCTCCCTTTCATTAAGAGGATAAAGAGCTGGGCAAAGTGGCACATACCTGTGATCCCAGGTACAACTTGGGAAACTGAGGCAAGAGAATGGCAAGTTCAAGGCCAGCCTGGGCAACTTCATGAGACCCTGTCTAAAAGTAAAAAATAAAAATGGCTGGAGATTTAGATCAGTTGTAGAGTGCCCTTGGGTTTGATTCGCAGTACTACACACACACACACACACACACACACACACACACAAAGACGTACAATTCAAAAGATAGTGCCACATTACTAGAATCCCAGCCCACCATTCTATTGTATGAATATGTCACCCAGGGAAAAGTCATTCAGGTTTACATGCCTCCATGATCTTATTGGGTCCCCAAAGCACAAGTGGTCTTGGCAAACACATCTTTACCCTTTCAGGCATTTGGTGTAATTTGACTCTTGCTCTGAGCTTCTTTCAAGGATTAATTTAATGTTGGATTTCCCTCATTACCTAAATCATTTACTCATCTCTTTATCTTCAGCTTGACTTTGACCCATCACATGAAGTCAGGTATGGAATGTGTCACTTCTGGCATGACAGAGCTCAAAATGTTTCAGGTTTTAGAGCATTCCAGATTTCAGGTTTTCAGATTAAGGATCCTCAACCTGTAGAATTTACATTGCCAGTGGACCAGGATAGACACTTTAGGTGAAGGAAATCACACTAGTAATGGAAAGAAACTGACTGTTAGCATATGGTCTTCAGCTCACACAGTCGTGAGGGAAGGTAGGTAGCTCTGTGAGTGAGGAAGGTAGAAAACAAAAAAGGGAGACAAATTTAAGGCAATTCATAATGTTTAAGTAAATTTCAACACATGCTTTTGAGGGCCTTTTCAGTTTCTTCACTAAGAGAGTGAAACAGTTTTAGGGAAATAAACCTGGGAGCAGCATAAAGAATGGTATAGAAGGAAAATAAACTCTATCTAGGTAAGTGAGAAGAGTGATGTTAATAAGGCAAGAGGTTAGAGGAAGCCCTAGTGGCAGTGAGAATGGAAGAAAAGGGAGTGAAATATCTAATGTGTGTCAGGAAATATAAGATTATCTTGATCTAATGTGGCAAATGAAAGAAAAGGAGGAATTCGTGTGGTTTAAGCTTTCCAGCCTAAGTGATTAAAATAAGGTGATTTTCTTTGATCACAAAGGTAACAAGGCGGTTTGGGGGAGAAGCTTTTTCAAAGACTGTAATAAATTCAAACACAGGGATATTCTCTTTTTCTACATTTTTATTAGCGCATTGGAGGAGGTATTGCGAGAAGAGTTTTGACTTTGAATTTGAGGGAACAGTGAAATATCTAAGTGAAGATATCCTACACATAGTTAAAAATTCTAATTTGAGCCTGGAGTCGGAGGGAAGAGGAGAGGATAAAAAGAGGAAAATACAAATGTGGGTATTTTCTACGGTGATTTCAAGAACATGCATATGTTAGCTGATTAAAAGAGAGAGGAGAAGAGGTTGGAAAGATACCCCAGTTCAGGAACTGAGGCTGATGAGAAAAGGGACAGAGCAGTAAGTGCTTCACATAAAAGAAAAGAGGAGAGAAAATAGAAAGTTAATAGAAAAACACAGTAAAACAGGATAAATGCACTCTCACTGTTTGAGCAAAGCTCTCAAAGGCAGTTTCTCCTATACTCTAAAATCATACTTTTATTATTATTTTTACTTTTATTAATTTTTAACCTTTTAGTTTACTCTGTTTTTGTTTTGTTTTGTTTTGTTTTGTTTTTGCAGTACCAAGATCAAAATCAGGACCTTGTGCTTGCCAGGCAGGCACAACACCACTGAACTACATCCTCAGCCTTTATTCTGTATTATTATTGAGGCTTCCAGTAGAAACCCTAAATGCTGGGAGAGCATGAGATGACATGTTTCAAACCCTGAGAGAAAATAACTGCCAACCTAGATTACTATGTCTAGCAAAGCTAGCCTTTAGAATTAAAGGAGAAATAATGACCTTTTAAAATAAGCATAAAGTAATTTATAACCAATAAACCAGCATCACAGAATATAGCTAAATAAATCCTACACACTGAAGAGGAAGAGTAGATAAGTTGAGAGTTAGCAAAGAATCAAACATTAGTACAACACCAAAATGATAGGAATTAATACATACCTTTCTATAATAACCCTGAATGTAAATGGTCTTAACCCTATAATTAAAAGGCACAATGGGCAGACTAGATTAAAAACAACTCTTTGGGCCAGGGATTTAGCTCAGTGGTTCTGCCGCCTGCCTTGAAAGTGCAAGGACCTGAGTGCAATCCCCAGTACCAAAAAAAAAAACCAAAACAAAAACAACTCTTTGGTATATGCAAAGGCATACACAGACCAAAAGCAAAAAGATAGAAAATGATATTTCAAATAAATGGGATCCAAAAAAACAAGCAGGAGTAGCAATATTCATAACCAACAAAGAAGGCTTCAAGACAAAATTAGAAGAGACAAAGGAAGTCATTACATATTAGTAAAGGGAAAAATTCATTATGAAGATATAATTGTAAATATATATGCACCAAACATAAGTGCACCCAATTTCATAAAACAAGCACTATTCAGAGACACAAAGATCTAATACAATGATAGTAGGAGAGTTTAATACTCCAGTCTCACCAATAGATATCAGTGTTAGCGGCCAGGGATTTAACTCAGTGGTTCCCCCGCCTGCCTCGCAAGCGCAAGGTCCCGAGCTCGTTCCCTGGTACCAAAAAAAAGATATCAGTGTTAAACTACACTATAGACCAAATGGGCTTAGACATCCACAGATTATTCCATCCAACAACTGTAAACTATACCTCCTTTTCAGCAGCTCATGGAATTTTCTCCAAAAGAGATGATATTTGGGCCATAAAATAAGTCTTACAAAAACAAAAAAGTTGAAATAATTTCCACATCTTATCAGATCATAACAGAATGATACCAGAAATCAACTAAAGAGAAACTACTAAAACTATTCAAACACTGGTAGATTGAAAAATATATATTTGAACAATCAATGGGTCATTTAAGAAACCAGGAGGTAAATTTTTAAATTCCTAGAATCAAATGAAAATGGAAACACAACTGTTATGATTTAGATTTAAAATGTGTCCCCAAAGCCTCACATGGCAGAGGTGAGGCCTGGTTGGAAAAGTCAAGTCACTGGGGGCATGACCTGGAAGGTTGCATTCTTGATACTGGCTCCTCCTCTTTCTCTGTTTCCTGACTGCCATGGGTTGTACAGCTTTCCTCTGTCACACCCTTCCATCATGTCATTTCTGCCTTGGGAGCCAAGCAACCATGCATGGACTGGAACCATAACCATAAACCTTTCCTCCTTCAAGTTGTAGGTGTTGGTGTTTTGTCCCAGAAAGGGAATAAAAACAAAGCTATCTCAAATAACCAACCTAACAATGCATCTCAAAGGCTTAGAAAATTGAGAACAGGCCAAACTCAAAATCAGTAGAAGGAAAAAAATAATAAAAATCAGAGCTGAAATTAATGAAATAGAGACTAAATGAACAATACAAAGGATCAATGAATCCAAGAATTGGATCTTTGAAAAGATAAATAATATAGATAACTAACCAATAATAATATAGCAAACTAACCAAAGAAAAAGAGAAAAAATCCAAATTAGTAAAACTAGAAATGAAAAAGTATATATTACAGCAGTCACTACTGAAATTGAGAGGGTCATTAGAAATTAGTTTGATAACTAATATTTCAATAAGTTGGAAAATGTAAAAGAAATGGGTAAATTTCTAGACACATACAACCTCCAAAATTGAAC